ATGTTCTCAAAGTTTATCAAGGAGTTTGCTGTTTATTTTCTAAATCTTCTGTAGAGAGAATGAGAACAACAGGACTTTTAAAAATTTATCATTAAAATATTGTTATCAATAACATATCCCATTGTTTTTGTATCACCTTGAAAATTGCGACGTATAGGGGTTACTTTTGATGGCTTCGGCAGCCACACCTAAGGCTTTTCTGGAGCAAAACTTAGTCACTTGATTTGACTATGCATGCTTCTTTTAATGACCCGAAGTGCAGTGCACTAGAGTCATTACTCTGCACTTGTTTTATTTTCATACTATGTTTTGTCCAGGACATTTCTCCTAAACTATAAAAGCTAGGGACTTGAAACTTCATAGGATAATAGATCTCTTTGAGCACAAAAAGTGGTACTTTGTACTTCATGATTTTTTTATTTTTTTTTCATAATTTTGTCCAAGCCAATTCTACTACACTTTAAGAGCTATTGACTTGAACTTCATAGGATGATGGATCTCATTGACAAAGGGCAGTGCACAAGAACTTGTGCACTGCACTTCATGATTTTTGAGGTATTGTCCTTTGTTAATTTTCATACTTACGAGGTATGATCAAAAAGTTCTCGGCCCAATAAACTTCTAGCCACTACACTGACATTTACACACGATACTTTAATACCAATATCTTATTGAAGATTACTGGCAGAGTTACATGCGGTTTTACACAGATTAAGTAACATAAAACACACTTTGATCTGTATAGGGGTGTGTCATTTAGACCAAATGGAAGAAGTTGAAATCAGAGCTAGATGGGTCCCCAGACAGTTGACTGACGACCAGAAACGGACCAGGCTTAACATTTCAAGATATCTTTTGTCTCGCTACGAGGATGAACCTGATTTTATCTACAGGATCGTAACTCTGGATGAAACATGGGTCCATCACTTCCATCCAGAATCCAAAAAATAGAGCATGCAGTGAAAGCACCCTGGCTCACTCCCTACATAGAAATTCAAGAGGGCGCCATCAGCAGGGAAGATGATGGATAGTCAGGGGATAATCATGATTGACTATCTTGAGCAATTAGCTAGTACCATAAATGGTACATTCTATGCAGACAAATTGAGATGTCTGCGTCAAGAAATTGCGCGTAAAAGGAGGGGCAAACTGACTCAAGGCATTCTGCTCCTGCACGACAATGTGCCAGCTCACACATCCCAAGTTGCTATGACTTCTACTGCGGCTTTGAAATTCTTCCCCATCCCCCATATTCTCCAGACTTATTATTAATGGCCCCCTCTGACTTCTACCTGTTTCCGTAACTGAAAACCAAGCTTTGTGGTAGACGTTTTGGAAGCAATGAAGGTGTCATGGAGGCGGTCAATGAGTTCTTTGAGGACCAAATAGACAGTTCTATTTTGAAGTGTTAAACAAGTTGGAGCACAGGTGGGCAAAGTGCATTGATGAAGATGGCAATTATTTTGTAAAGTAAGACCATTAGTTTGGTTCTCTTACTTCCGGAAGTACATCAGGCCAAAAACTTTTTGATCAATCCTCGTAATAGGCTTGTCCAGAGCATAACTTGGTCACTGTAGGTTTGATTGACTTTAAATTTTGTATGCAAGCTTTTTTCATGTACCTGAAGTGCAGTGTACAAGAATCCATCACAGAGTCAATGATTTGATCTGTCAGTGTAAATTTTTCCATGGTATTTTTATTTTTGATAATATAACAGTTTTATTAATCCTGACAAAACATTGTTACAATCAGTTCATAAAGGTACATGTACATTGCAAGAGCAGTGTTTATAAATAACCAATATTTGAGAAGAAAATGCCTAACTGACAGCAAACTGTTGACAAGGCAACACATCCGTCTCGCAGAGTTCTAGTTTTTATGCTCCACTAAGGGTGGCATATAGTCACCGCTTTGTCTGTCTGTTGGTCCGTCCGCTTTTCTTGTCCGTGACATAACTCTGAAACAACAAGAGGTATCAACATGAAACTTTGTATGTACATCAATCTCATTGGGTAGATGTGCAGTGCAGAAGAACCGTAACTCTGCCTTTCCAATTTTTTGGAATTATTGCCCTTTGTACATTCTAACCATTTGAATTTTGTCTGGGACATAAGTTTTAAACTATAAGAGATATCAAGATATCATTGAGTTGAAGTGTAGTGCAAAGAACAGTAATTTTGCCTTTCCTAAGTTTGGAATTATTGCACTTTGAACTTTGTCCGGGACAATTCTGAAACTAGAAAAGGTATATAGAAAAGGTATACTTTTCTGTGTCCAAAACCTATTTGGGGAGCATCACCGGTTCAACTGGCTCTTATTATGCTTCCCAAAGGGTGAGCATATAGTCTCCACTTTGTCCGTCCGTCTTCCGCAGTAAACAACAGCAATACTTTGTTGTACTTGGGATAATGGCGTAACAGAATTCCTGATCCTGTTCATTCTTTTTTACTAGTGTGTACTTTACATTTTGAACTTTTGTGACTAATTAAAACTAAAAGATCAACAGTGAAATTAGTCAGCATAAGTATCTCATTTACGTAAGTGCAGCAAAAGAACCATAACTCTGTCTTGTCTAATTTTGGAGTTATTGCCCTTTGTTCATTTTTACACTTTGAACTTTGTCCGGGACATAACTCTAAAACTATAAGAGATATCAACATGAAACTTTGTAGGTTGATAGATCTCATTGGGTAGACTTGCATTGCAAAAGAACCATAATTCTATTTAGTTCAGTTTTTCAATTATCTCCCCTTTTATGGGGACATAACTCTAAAAGTATAAGAGATATCAACATGCAACTTTGCAGGTAGATAGATCTCATTGGCTAGAAGTGTGGTGCAAAAGATATTTTGGAGTTATTTCTCTTTGTTCATTTTTATACTTTGAACTTTGTCTGGAACATAACTCTAAAACTATAAGAGATATCAACATGAAACTTTGCAGGTAGATAGATCTCATTGGGAAGATGTGCAGATGGTAGATGAACCTTAACTCTGCCTTGCTTAATTTTGGAGTTATTGCCCTTTGTTAATTTTTACACTTTTTGAACTTTGTGACATGACTCTGACACTACAAGAGGTATACTTTCCTGTGTCTAAAACCTATTCAGGGAGCATCACCTGGTTCAACCGGTTCTTGTTTATAAAAGTTATTATGAAAAAAATATTGAAATGATTAATTAATGGAAACCTTCATGAACATGTTAATTCTTAGTTTAATTAGCATAATTAATTAATTAACCTATAAGTCTTTAATCATTGCCGCCACTTGTAACACTGATGATAAAGGGAATTTACACAGAGTATGATAAACAGACAAGTACATGTAGTTTTGTGTTTTCTTCATTTGCACAACCAATTGATTATCAATTTATTTAATTTTGCTTGAAATTTGATAAAGTTCTAGATATACTTTGTTCATATTGTTTGGAAGTAATTTGTTCTGCTTGGGATATAAGTGAAAAGGGCGTACAAAAGACGCATCTGACACACTAGATCAACAAGTGTTTAAGCTTTGAAATCTGAATTTTCTGTTCTATCAAAATTACGGGAGGGGAATCGTCCATAATGAAAAAAACAACAGAATTGTTCATGATGAAAAAAACAATAGAAGGAGCATTGTCTGCCCTGTAAAAATAAAGGGAGGGGAGTTGGCTGGGTTGTCAAAATTGGCCTGAAATTATTGGGAGGGGAATTGTCTGGGAGAGGTTGTTTTTCTGTAAAGCTGGAAAGTCTGCATATGACCTTTACAATGTTGGACCTGTGACATTAAAAAGTTTTTTAAACTAATGCACCAATCAATCAAATAAATTTTGATGCACATTACTGCTTTTGGGGTTATTATCGGGATATGAGTCTGGTTCAACTTATAAGCCTGTATACAATCATATTAAAACAATATGTAAGTGGAGATGCAATAAATATTACTGTTAAAACATGCATTAAAAATTCTAAAAATCTGAAATTTTCAATCATATTTCTCTTGTTATCATCCAAAATAGTTATTGTTGCATATATATTATGATAATTGTCAGTCGTAACAATGTGTATTGTTATATCTGATGTATATGTACATCAATGACGATGCATTTATCAAAATGCCACATTTCATCTTGGAAAACCTATAAATATACAAAATAAAATGAATGTTACAAATACACCGTTAGTCGTATTTACCAAGAGGAATAATTGAATAAAAAAAAGGAATCTAAAATACAACACAACAAAAAAAAAGAATTAGCTGTTTCCTTCCTTTATTATAAGTTTAATGGTAATAGTTGAAGACATGCGACAACCTGAAGTGACTTAGTCACCTACAGGGATAGCAGGTGATAGCTTCTTAATAACCACATACTGTATCACGGAATCAAATATCAGCAAATTAATTTGGATTACGCCAACAAGTTTGCCTTAAATCAAACATGTTATAACATTGTGTACTGCAGCTGTCTTTAAGTGTTATATAAGTTCTGAATAGTGTTATTGTACTGATAAGTAGTTTTGTTTTATTCACATGATTTGTACTGTAGAATGACAATTATCTTTATTGTTATCAGACTCAGAGTTGACCGAGGGAAATTATCTCAAGCCATCATTTAACATTTAAGTTCATTTTCTTGTATGGGGGAGGACATCAATTCTCCCTAGTTTGGTTAGTTCAAACTTTAATAAGCCTCCCGACCTATAAATTTCTGGATTCATGCCTTTCTTATGTCATCCTACAGAGTATGGGTTTTCCAGTTGAATGATATTTGTCTGAGTTATGGCCCTTGAATAATAAACATGTTTGCCAATTTTGATTTTTGTGTCTGCTACTACACTATAGCTGCAACATGCAACTGGCAATCATGAGGCATCACGTGATCACAGATTGCTATTGTCTTAAAAAGAAGCAGTAACAGTTCACAATGTTATATAAAGGAAGTTACTTTAAAAATATATATATTTCATAAAAAAAACCTCAACTTAAGTTTTTGATTTTTTGCTCAGTGATGATATATGAGTACATATATTTTGTAAAATAACTCGTAAAATTCCTCATACAAATTGAGAAGAAATATTGTTATAAACATCTTCAGGTTTCACAAGTTAGATATGTTATTTTCATAGCAATTTAGACATTTATATAACTGGTACTTCCTTTCAATGAAAATTAAACCTATCATTAACTACCTTTACAAGTTGCTTTTACAGCAATTAAGATATACATCAACTGATAGAAATCGCTCTCAATGTTAAAGGAGAGTATATATAGTTTTTGTACTCTTAAACTTGTGCTTAGAAAAAAACCTAACAGAATTGATGTAAACATATATTTTATATGAACACTTACATTAGGATGTTTAAAAGGTATGGATTTTTATTTTATAGTTTCAGTAATATGTTTTATAAATATCTTAAAAAATGTAACATAATATGTGTATTCGACATTCTTGCATACGATTAACACTAATTATATTATTATTTGCTAATGGGGAAACAGCTTTTATAAATGATGCTAGCCTAAACCTGATGTAATCAAAACTGACCAGCCTTTGCCACCAGTATAGAGCCAGGCCAGTCTGTACATCTATGCCACTGGCACCAGAGTCCTTAAATTATCATAAAATAAATTAAATCATACCCATATAACACAAACTGCCGGAAATATTATCAAAATTTTTTTTCAGACACACCCTCGTATATACTATCATATATAATTTTCACATTATACAAATGTATATGATAATATTGATAATATTTTGGGCAGTTTGTGTTATATGGGTATAATTTAATTTATTTTATGATTATTTAAGGACTCTGGTGCCTGAGTAATCTATGCACTTTTGTTGTAAATTTAGATAACTTTGGATAGACTGTTGAGTAAGTTAAGAGTTAAGATATTGTTGTTTACTTATCAACAATGGACAAAAAAACACAGACTTTGTATTCATATTCATCAATGTATAAAATTTATTAAAAACCAGAGGTTACAATATATTTGAGGTTAAATGCTCAGGTCATTTCTTCACACTGAACAGTCTTAAACTTCCTAAATGAATTTGCTCAGCTTCAATTTTTTTTTAATTTTGGAGATATTAAGATGAAATATTTAAATAAAGAGCCTGGTCAGTCTGCATATAAATGGCGGCTGATTCTATACTGGCAGCAGGGAAAGTTTTCCAGAAGATTAAGTTTTAATAGGCTAGATATGTACAATTTAATATTGGCTGGAAAAAAGTCTAAAAGTAGCTTTGTGTCAAACTCATATAACATGTTGCCAAAGATTTTACATGACTACAAGGTCATGATTATTGAAACCTCTGTAAACACTGGAGGAAAATATCTGTTTATTAACAAATCCTACAGTGAGTATAAAACCACTTTGGGATACCTTCCTGTTTATAAACAACAGCTGAAAATGTATAAAAGCTAATTTTCTAAGTGTATAATAATATAAATAATAGCTTTTTAACCAGGTTTTCCGTTAACCAGGTTTTCCGAAGGAAAAAACTGGTTATTAGATTGAGGTATGTCGGCGGGCGGGCGGGCGGGCGGATGGGCGGCGGGCGGGCGTAAACGATTTCTTCTGTGCGCAACTCCTCCTACATTTCTCAACGGATTTTGACCAAACTTTCACAGAAGCTTTGTCATCAAGTGCCCTGGCGCATATTGTCGGGGTTTTGCGATTAGATAATATTTGACCTAATTATGGCCCTTTGTTTTTTTTCCTTATATAGAATATATAGTGAACAATTTCTACAGTGCGCAACTTCTCCTACATTTCTCAACAGATTTTGACCAAACTTTCAGAGAAGCTTGCTCATCAAGTGCCCTGGCGCATATTGTCAGGGTTTTGTGATTGGATAATATTTGATCTAATTATGGCCCTTTGTTTTTTTTTCCTTATATAGAATATATAGTGAACAATTTCTACAGTGCGCAACTTCTCCTACATTTCTCAACAGATTTTGACCAAACTTTCACAGATTTTTCTGAAGCTTTGTCATCAAGTGCCCTAGCACATATTGTCGGGGTTTTGTGATTGGATAATTTTTTACCTAATTATGGCCCTTTGTTTTTTTTCCTTATACAGAATATAGATAGTGAACACTTCTTCTGTGCGCAATTCCTCCTACATTATTCATGTTTGACATTGCACGTAGTTACATTGTTTGTTGCTTGTATTTGTATTTCAAATACAACATTTTTATCTACAATGGTGATAATTGAAAACCTGGTTTCATGGCATTGCCATGTTTCTTGTTAACAAGTGTATAATGTACTTTTGTATAGATGATTTCTTTTTTTAAGTGTCTGTAGTATGTTTAATTATCCGCCCACTAAATCTATAGGGAGAGCATTGGATTAATAATGCAGGGGTCACTGGTCCAATCCTCAGACAAGGCTTAATTTCTCCATGACAACTGATTTCTGACATTAAGTTCAAGGTCATTTGTCTCTCACTCTGATTTTAAAATTATGTGAGATTTAAGTATTTGGTCACTTGCGGAAAAATTAGTAATCACTGGTTAGTTATCTACGAAAGCCTGACAAGATTTGACCAAAAATTTATTAAAATTGGCGTAAAAAGCAGAAAAACAAGTAAAGAAAAGATAAATGCCTGATGTTTAGATTTTTGCTAAAGTAATTTCTACATATGCATACTTTGTAATATTGCACATAATCAAAGTAAATTGCTTTTTTGTTTGAAGTTAATTTTCAACTTTTGATGTTAAGATTAGGTAAAAAAGTACAAATAGAAAAGCTTAAATTACATTCCTCCCACCTTCTAAAACAAGATTTTATTTCCTTTTATTTTTTTGATCTGGGCTGGCTAAATATAATAAACACTGTTTATCAAATTTATAAATTTACTGGTGTGTATGATTTGAATTTTTCTCTACATTTTTTCAGGACAAAATGAATGTGGATTGGACAGAGGGTGAAATTTGAAAGTGTAAGCAACGATGGGTGAGTCAGTAGCCACATTATTTTAAAAATAAACATTTTTTTTGGTGCTACATGTATGATTTATTTGGTGTAAAACTAAAAGATTTGATGTGATAAAAAACATATCTTTTTTTGATAGAAATTCTGTATTTAAGTGATGATAAGTTTAGCTAGTTGTATGTATTTAAGTAGAGAAATGGTGCACACATGTTCATTTGTATTAGTAAAATAAAACCTGATACCTGTTTTATATACATGTACTTTAGAAAGAAAATGACTTAAAATCCAATCTCTACATAAAATATGCTTAAACCTAATGAATGCCAGAGGGATTTTATAGCATGTGTTAATAATCATTTATATATTTATTTTCTGTTTTATATTAATATGTAAATCATGCAATATTAGTTGACATTTTTGTGTATATTTATATGTAATTATTACCTCAACAAAAGTACAAATTTAAATACTAGTACTCTGAATATCTGTACAAATATTAATTCCAACAAAAACATGCCTACTGATGAGTATACACATACTAACATATATATAAACACAATTACATATATATTTGCACTCATTGACAGATATAGTTATAGTCCTAAATTGACAGATATCTGATCTGACACACATATACAAACCAGATATATGTGTATACAAAGACTGACAACTATCTATATCAACTGTCTTTTTACTGATAAAGTGAGATATCTGTACCAATACACATACCACAAACTGACAGATATCTGTACCCATGCACATACCACAAACTGACAGATATCTGTACCAATGCACATACCACAAACTGACAGATATCTGTACCAATGCACATACCACAAACTGACGGATATCTGTACCAATGCACATACCACAAACTGACGGATATCTGTACCAATGCACATACCACAAACTGACAGATATCTGTACCAATGCACATTCCACAAACTGACAGATATCTGTACCAATGCACATACCACAAACTGACAGATATCTGTACCAATGCACATACCACAAACTGACAGATATCTGTACCAATGCACATATCACAAACTAACAGATATCTGTACCAATGCACATACCACAAACTGACAGATATCTGTACCAATACACACATACAAACTGACAGATATCTGTACCATCTGACGATGACAAATATATGTACCAATTCACACGAACTGACATACATCTGTACCAATGGATGATGACAGATATCTGTACCAGTGCACACACACAAACTGACAACTGTCTGTACCACATGATGATGACAGATATCTGTACCAGTGCACACACACACTGACAGATATATGTATCAGTGCACAAACACAAACTGACAACTGTCTGTACCACATGATGATGACAGATATCTGTACCAGTGCACACACACAAACTGACAGATATCTGTATCAATGGCTGATGACAGATATCTGTACCAGTGCACACACACACACACACTGACTGATATCTGTACCAGTGCACAAACACAAACTGACAACTGTCTGTACCACATGATGATGACAGATATCTGTACCAGTGCACACACACACTGACAGATATCTGTATCAGTGCACAAACACAAACTGACAACTGTCTGTACCACATGATGATGACAGATATCTGTACCAGTGCACACACACACTAACACAAACTGACAGATATCTGTATCAATGGATGATGACAGATATGTGTGCTAACAGATATCTGTGTTGAAATAACTGTTTTTGCTGATACACATATTCATGACAGAAATGGCATATGGAGAACTAAATCATGTAAGTTGGAATAAATTTATTTATTTAATTACATAATTATATTAAAGATTGATATATATATTTTCAATGAATATGAATATTATAATGGAATTATTGTTTTATAAAATTTGATAAGTGGAAACAAGATAGAAAACTTTTCTGTGATTACCTGACCTTTATAAACCTTAATAATTTCAATGTCAAATGCTTTCATTACATTACATTTATTTAGCCTCATGAGTTTAATTTTTAATCTGAAGTAATATAACTCTGTTGATATCTTGTTAAATACAATCATTCTAACTTTGAAATTACTTAACTAAACGATTAAGTTAAAATGGCCTTCTAGGTTTTATCCTTAAGTTTGACCTAGACCTTTAAATGCTAGGATATATTTTATACATGTATATAACTGCCAGTTTGCACATTTTCTATGAAAACTTAGTAGGGTCTATATTTTTGGCTGACCAACTTCTGTAAAGTTCTATAACTCTGTCGTATATTTCATCTTATAATTCTGTCTTATATTTTGTCTTATATGTCTAAATGATATGAATTTATAGTGTGATAAAAGTCATTATAAAAGTTTTGTCAAACTCTGCACTTATTATCATACTAATAAGATAATCTCTTTCATGCTGCACATCTCTTGCTAACATTTTTTTTTAATTAATGTCCATATAAGATAAAAAAATTGACTATCATCTAGTCTATATTTGCAGTTTATTCATAAACCTTTTCCTGAAATGAAAATGAAACGCATTTTTGATATGAACCTGCCTTGAACTTTAAATGGAAAGGTCCAAATTCAAAGCTGGCTAAATCCATTTTTGTGTCGCCTCTACGGAGTAGTGGCGACATATAGGGATCACTTCTCCGTCGTCTGTCTGTCCGTCTGTCTGTCTGTCTGTCCGTCTGTCTGTCCGTCCGTCACAAAACTTGTCCGGACTACTCCTCATAAACTACTGGTGCAATTTCATCCAAACTTTACAGGAATGATCAGTACCAAGTCTAGTTGTGCATATTGTCAGGATTTTCCGGTTCAATGATTTTTGTCAGAGTTATGGCCCTTTAATAATTTTTAATTTTAAAGTTTGTCCGGACTACTTCTCTTATACCACTAATGCAATTTCAATGAAACTTTACAGGATTGATCTGTAGCTCAAGTCCTTGCGCATATTGCGCGGGTTTTCCGGTTGAATGATTTTTGGCCGAGTTATGGCCCTTTGATAAAAAGGTTTCTTTTTCTGTGTGTTGCCAGATACGCAAAAGCTTGTCCGGACTACTCCTCATAAACTACTGGTGCAATTTCATCCAAACTTTACACGAATGATCAGTACCAAGTCTAGTTGTGCATATTGTCAGCATTTTCCGGTTCAATGATTTTTGTTTGAGTTATGGCCCTTTAAAAATTTTTATTTTTAAAGTTTGTCCAGACTACTTCTCTTATACCACTTATGCAATTTCAATGAAACTTTACAGGATTGATCTGTAGCTCAAGTCCTTGCGCATATTGCACGGGTTTTCCGGTTGAATGATTTTTGGCCGAGTTATGGCCCTTTGATAAAAAGGTGTTTTTTTCTGTGTTGCCAGATACGCAAAAGCTTGTCCACACTACTCCTCATAAACTACTGGTGCAATTTTATCCAAACTTTACAGGAATGATCAGTACAAAGTGGTTAGTCTAGTTGTGCACTGTCCGTCTGTCTGTCCGTCTGTCACAAAATTTGTCCCAACATGAAATTGGCCATCATGAGGCGACACATGTGATTACTGATCGCTCTTGTTAAAAAAAATTAGTATGTTAATTTCATATTTGATCTGTTATAGAGATTATAATTCTGTTTTAGGACCAGTTTACTGCTATGTGATTTTCATTTTAGAGTATTGCAGCAATGGATTTGATAATGAAAAACCAATGAGATGACTGGAGCTGTGGAAGAATATGCAGAATAAAGCATATTTTGGGGTATATTATCAAGGTAAGCTTGTAATAACAAAGATTATTTATATTATGATTTTGATATTTAATACTTGAGTATAAATAAAAAAAGAAAGCTGTGTGGTATAAAAATCACAAGTTAGACCTGGCTTGTATATAGTACACACATGACTTTATTTACAGTGTTTGTGTTACACTTTACCCTTACAATATTGCCTTAATATTCTTTCAAATATAAAGCACATATTTTTAGCTTGACCGTTGGAGGAATTGGGAGAGCTATTTTACTCACTCAAGTGTCGTGGTCTGTGTCCCTGTCAATTTTGGTTAAGTTTTTGCATACAAGTTGATGTCTCCAAAGGGTTGAAACTTCACACAATTGATCTCTGTGATATTAATGGGCACAAGTCCAATAACCCTTAGTTACCTTTTTTCAGATTTATGCTTCTTTTCTTACTGTCAAGCACTGAAAACAATTGAGCAAACTGTCTTAGGAACGGCTCTGGTTCACTTGGATATTTGTAGGATAAGGAGGGCATTTCTACTCACCCTTAAAACTACAAATCATGGGGAGAATAAATAGTGTTGGAGCACCACACTAAATACTGTATTCCAGTTTATACTAGACAAGGCGCTTGAATGATTAAATGCTAAAATCTTGCCTTTTCACTGGCCCAAATGCACTTTAAGACATCTTATTCAAGTCTTTACACCAATTTATTTACAAATGTAAAAATCATCTAAAAAAGCAATATTTTTCTACTTTGTGATCAACACTGTAGTGAGTTAAATCTTTTTATTTTTGTCTTTAGTTATTACAGTAATACTGCATTTCGTGTCATATGGGTAGATGGACTTGCATTAAACTTGAAATACATTGATACTATATTTCACCAATGTTATTATTTACTTTAAATAATCAGATGCCAGTTAAATAATACGAGTTTCTTTATAAATAACAGTACAATTGTATGTAATTTGTAGCATAAAATATCTTGAAAGAACTGCTTGTAGTTTACTAAACAGTTAACTTAGATGCTTTATTAATAATCCATCCAAATTTTTTGTAAATGATATACAAGTTTACTTACCAAAGTATAGTAATGCTTGCAAGGGAGGGAACAATATTTCATGCTCAAAAATGCAGATATTGTGTTACCTCCCTTGTTTATAGCTGTTCGAGATGAATAACAATTCAAATAACCTGTTTCATATTGGACTAAGTGTTATATATATTCTTCCTTGAGACAGATTACCCTTTTTTGATACAGATTGGAAAGTTTTTGCATTGAAATAAATGGAATCTTGTGACAACAGATTGCGTTAAGGTGTCAGTTATTGTTTAATTCAAATTTTAATTGTATAACATTTCTAATAACCCTTTCAGACAATTTAGATGAACAATCTTCTCTTACATGCAATTTATTTGGTCTCTGCTTGCATTCGGAAAATTTATCAAGCTTTTTTTGTTCGTTACGAGATTTATTGTTATCCTGTCTATAGAAAATAAAAAGAATTATTTGGTTAAATTGTTTTCTGTCTAAGGAATTTGTGCTGAAAAATCCAGGATAGCAACATTAGGGTTCCCTTTTATATTAGTTATGCTACTAGAATTATTTGTAGTGAAACAATATTCTACTGAAAATTTATATATAATCAAATAAATTACTCACTCCATAAATGGCAAATAGAAAAATCAAAGCACAGAAGGCACTGAATTTGTTTGGGTCTCAGAATGTCAAAGAGGTGAAGGTTGTGAGATTATAAACCAGTTTGTTTGTAAAGTGTCACCAAATTCTGTTTCCAGTGTTATAACTATAGTAAATTGGCTATAAGACTAATTTCAACACTGATATTCAATTCAATGTTTATTTGGCTTAATCAATTACAAAAAAAAAAAGAAAAGTTGTCTGAATTGGGATTTGAACTCTCGGACCACTAAAGCAAGCATGTAAACCTCTCGACCACGGGGAATTATAATAGCCTGAAGAATACCATATTATTCTTAATTAGAGTTTGTAACCCTTATTAATTTCGATATATTTTGTTCACGGTAAACCTGTTGTTTAACACTGAAGTAAATAATCATGGAGCATGTATATCTATAAGAATAACACAATATTAGAAATCTTCGACCAGTCGGGAACTATTTTTTTTAGGAAAATTAATGCGCCTGTCATTTGACAATCTTGACACAGTGATCTCCCCTTAATTTTGCGGCATTAATGTACATATGAAGGGAAGTAACCACTTCGAGGTGTTTGGACTACTTTCGGCATTGCAAATAAGAACATCAGAGTCTGAAATTTCGCAATCATTATATGTTTGGTCTGACGACCCAAACAAATAAAAATGATAATCCCCTAGCCATGTGATGGCGATAGATTCTACCAATGTTACCAGTGCAGACCAAGATCAGCCAGCATAATCTTTGCTATCTAATTATTGTCTGCACTGTTTGCTACTCAGTACGTATTTTTAAATTTTCCCTAAAATTGATGAATGGTTATAAACGCTTGACAGATCCTTTTATAATATTAATCATGTTAAAGGTTAAGATAAAGGTTTAGAAGAATTGTAAACAAAATTGTTGTCATGAAAAATCGTTCACATAATTATAAGTCATTGTGGCTGAGTGATTTTAGGAGTGTATACCCCTGCTTTTGGTTTTTCATATGCGCAAGTTAATTGTAACTGAAGTTCACAGATTGTGTCTGGTTCTACTTTGCTGCTTTCTGTAAAGATAATGCATGACAAACGGCTTAAAGATCCTGTATGTTTTGTGATTGATATTTTTACTGTATGAATACCACACTAGCAAAAACTTATAATATGTAACATTATTTATGCAAATAAAACAATTTTTCAAACATCGAAGAATATGTAAAATGTGTACTGCAAATATTTGTGCACATTTTATTAATCAATAAAATTACAGGCATTCATTTCTTATTG